TAAAACCTTGGGTAGTCAAAGTGTTACAAGGGGTTTCCACGTACCTAACCATAGGTCCGGACCTTATGGGTATTTAGTGATTCGAGCGTAAGGGATGGCGGTACCAAAAGGGGTGGGGTGAATATCCTATACCGTATAATAGTATAATGTAATAAATATTAAGAGAAGGCTAATAATTCGTATAAAGATAAGTGGCTTTAATTTAGATATGAAAGTAAGCTTTTAAAGTTAACTATAAAGAATAGGAAATGTCCAAAGAGTGTCCTACACTATATACCATTCATCCCATTCTTCTATCTCCTAGAATCCCAAGGGCTCCCTGGGATCCTACCCTCTTAGTGGGATACCTTCACTATCTCCCACCAAGTCTTTGGTCTCCTGGGATCCTCCAGTCTTAGCGGGATCCTAGTTACGTGACCACTAACATAATTCCGATAGGCGTCTAGCGTGTTGAGATGCGTCAGCCTCTAGCCTAGGGGGTCCTATTATCCCGCCGGACGTCTTTGTTTTCCTACCGTCATTCTATATAATTATAATAGTTTAGTAGTATTATATATTAGTAGTATATCTATATTTATTATATAGCCTAGGTTTACTATAATAGTATAATGTAATAAATATTAAGAGAAGGCTAATAGTTCATATAAAGATGAGTGGCTTTAATTTAGATATAAAAGTAAGCTTTTGAAGTTAACTACAAGGAATAGAAAATATCTAAAGAGTGTCCTACACTATATACCATTCATCCCATTCTTCTATCCCCTAGAATCCCGAGAGCTCCCTAGGATCCTATCCTCTTAGTAGGATATCTTCGCTGTCTCCCGCTAAGTCTTCGGTCTCCCGGGATCCCCCAGTCTTGGCGGGATCCTAGTCACGTGACCGCTAACATAATTCCAATAGGCGTCTAGTGTGTTGAGATGCGTCAGCCTCTAGCCCGGGGGGTCCTATTATCCCGCCGGACGTCTTTGTCTTCCTGCCGTCATTCTGTGTGATTGTAACAACTATATCCTAGAAGTAGTTTTTCTATACTATTTTATTACTCTCTATAAGCTTCGTTATAAAAGCTTCTATGACGCTAAAAGGCTCTATATTCTTAATTAGATTAATAAGGAGCGTACGCAGCTACTATTTATTTTAGTAAAAGCTAGAGTTAAGTGCACGTTTTTTATTTCATCCTCGCGTACAAGTTTCTATTTCCTCAAGAGCCTTAGTATTTATGATACTATTTAAAATAATTCGGGGGCCTTGCGAGACCCAGGAGAAATCCATATAACGGAGATAGCTCAACTGGCAAGAGTAGGTAGCCACTCTATCCTCTAGAGTCGAGCATTAGGCGGAGAATACTTAGTAGTGTGTATATCCTGCTATATTACCGGAGACGTTCCACCCGCAAATAATAATTGAGGCGAGAAAATTAATAGAATCTTTCGCATACTTACCGGCTTCTAGCCAACCATTATAGTAGCTGCTGTTCTTCGTGTCACAGGTTGAAGTTACCCAAATCTTGGCTCGAAGTCGGAAGAGCTAATAAAGTTCTAGGAGAAAAAGTAATGTGCACACCATACTAACATCGAATAGAGACTGTAGAAACTTTTGGTCCATATATTTCCAGAAGATTGGGCTCAGTATCGTAAGGCAATCGCTGCGCCATTTAACGAAAAAATAATGAGCTTCGTATGGTCTGAGTCAATTCAAGATATAGTCCGCTATTGGCTGCAAGACGAGATGCGCAATTACTTAAATGACACCCAAACCCTCTCGTTGAACGTACTTGCGGCCACCGGCTTTAAAAAGATATTCAAGTTTCGCCACTGGAAAGGTCATGAGGTACCCGGCGGGGCTGACCTTTCACATCGTGATGCTTCACAGATAATTCTCGAGAATACTTTACCATTCGGCAACATATTCTTCATCAACTTTGCCGGGCACGACACGACAGCAAATGAACTCGCATTTGGTGTACTACTGCTTGCTGCTCATCCAGAGGTTGAGACTTGGGTTGCGGGGGAGGTCAGGTAACACACCAAAGGCGCCAGTCCGGAACCCTGGAAATACGACGATACGTTCGCCAAATCAGTAAGATATCAGGCAGTTATGGTGAGTAGATCGTTTTAGGTCACAGTTCACGTCGGCATGAGGGATGAGAGACGAGTATCTGTGACGCCGTAGGGGAGGTTGTGACACTGACTGGCTGCAGCTAGAGATCCCCCGCTTCTATCCTGCTGTACTTGCTTTGCAAAAGGTCACCGGGTCGGCGTCGTAGGTTATTCACGCGCCCGACTGCACCCTAACCATCCCATCACACGTTTAGGTGTTCGGCTGCGTGCCTGCAACCCGTCCTGATCATTACCCAAATCCTCATCGATTCAAGCCGGAGCGATGGATCAAGCGGAATGCGGACTCAGTAGAGGAGCTAATCCCTGCGTGAAAAGGCGCACCCCTCGCATGGGCCGATGGACCACAGGTTTGTCCCGGAAAGAAGTTTTCTAAGTCGAGTTCGTCGCTGTTTTGGCATGTATGTTTTAACACTGCAAGATTGAGACGTAAGGGTAGGAGAAGAGGATGAGGAGGCGATGCGACTACGAGTGACGAAGGTGTAAAACGATTGCGACTTACAAGTTTCATTACGAATGAAACATGCAGAGAAGGTACAGCTAAAAGTTCGGCTTGAGGGAAGCTTGTGAGACTGGCAGTAGGCTGTGCCAACACTATCGATTGATACCTCGATACACAATACCGCCATCAATGGCAACGTTGGTCGTATCTACCATTTCACTGACTCCAGAGTCTTTGCATCGCTCTCTTGCCATGGGTACTGCTTCTCCGCTTCTCGGATCATGAACCCATGCTTTTCCGATCTTGGCTTGATTGAAACACGATATGGCACGGGATGCGATACGACTCCCGCTTCGAACTTCATTTCTGGCTCCACCACCTTTCCATTTTCATCAACTAGTTTTTCGATCCTGAAAACGGCGAGTGTCTGCGCGATGGTGAGAAAGAGGGCATTATCTGCAACGTATCGGCCTGGGCACACTCGTCTGCCGTAACCAAAAATCCATTCACGCGGGTCGGGCTCTGGCTCTGCCTTCAGATAACGCTCGGGGTTGAAATCCATGGGAGATTCGTAAACGGACGGATCGTGGGTAAACCACCTGGACTTCATCAGTAATTGCTGCATATTGCGATAGTGGGATGCAAACCAGTTGTTTGGAAGAAGTAGGCTGCCCTTGGGTATCCTATAGCCATTGATGACATCGTCCTTGGTACTCGCGTGAGGCAGCGCCATAGGCGCCACTGGATGCCATCGGTGGGTCTCGCTGACGAGCGCTCTGATATAGGGCAGCTGGTTTCGGTCTGCGCTTACAGGCAACCGGTCTCCAATAACGCGATCCAATTCCTCTTGCGCCTTCGTCTGCACGTCTGGGAACCGTGCTATGGCAAGGAAGAAAGTCATGAGCGAGGAGACAGTGGTATCAGCGCCGCCGAGATACATAGACGAAGCAGACCATTTGTGAATCCGCTCCATATCTGTATCTGAGTCGCTCTTTATGTTCTCGATAGCCTGAGAAAGAAAGGATGTTTTGGCCTTGTTTTGGCGCATTTGCTCCTTAACGAATTGGTAGGGCTGCTCGGTCGTTTGATGCAGCTGAGCAGCCATTTGGCGAGCGGTGCGTTTGAAACCCGCGATAGGAAGCCATTCTGGTGCATATTGTACTATCATCGCCCAAATTTGTCAGTTACGTTGCAATACTCTAAGGTCCTGGCCGCATGGACATATACTTACGAAAAGGCATGATATCTACTGGCCACTTGCCTGGCACAGTTGCCTCAGCGAACTCATGCATTGTCTTCACAGCCATGTCCACTAATGGGTCCTTGCCATGAGCTTCAGCTGTGTACCCATAGGTGATTTTCAAGATCACAGCGCCAGCTTCCTTTTCAATATGGGCGAAAAGGTTCTCTGGAGAGGAGAGCAGATTAAGTAGGAAGTGCACCGCTTCTTCTTCCTGTACACGGTCAAAGATAGAAAGGGAAACAGTGCTACCTGCGACACTAGCAATATTCTTGCGATGCAGTCTGAAGGTGTCGGTATAACCGCTGAAGGCCAGGGTGTTCTTCCAGCCAATCCTGCGCACGATCGGGTCAGTATGTCCTCGTACATGGTCGTTCGTTGAAGCGAGCATACATGTCGCTACTGAAGATCATATGTGGCCGCCCAGAATGCATAGCTGAACGGTCCCGTAGCAGCTCAAGCGCTATCTGCGCATCGTTGATTATTACGAATGTCTGCCCTAACACCGTGACTGAGCTGATTGGGCCATAGAGTTCCTTATGTTTCAGCCAGTGGTGGCACTCTAACATGCCCGGCTTGGGCAAGTCATTGATATTTCCCAGAAAAGGGAGGCCCTTCGGTCCTGGGGGGAGGGGCAGTCTATCGTCCTGGGGGCGTAGAAGACGACCGAGAAGATATGCGGCGACAATGCTAGAGAGGAACAGGAGGGCCGTCACTGAGGAGACACCCATCTTGACGATTGTAGCAGTCAAAGGGAAGAATAGCTGAAATTGGGGAATGAAAAACGCAGAAGGCCGGTCCAGAATTGCGCCTGTTCATAGACCATGATTTCGAATTACCGCGGCTTGCTCGCTTCACATTGCGCGGCTACTCAGCCAATGCAGCAAAACCCACGGGCGAGGGGCAAGATATCTAGGACCCGCATACCCTTACTAAAAGAGGTCTAGCCTTGCTGACGATCCTCTGTATACAGTAACACGCATTGTTTCATCCGCATGTCCCGCAAGGACACCAAAATCGTGTAACCGAGGCTTGAAAGAGATATCAGAATACGAGTCCACTGAGAAACATGGATCGAGACGAGCCTACTGCACCTACATGGCTCGGAAAAGTCGTCCGCGAAACAAACTGCGTATCGTCTCGTTAATTCTGAACATAAGAGATCATCGTCTGTTAGTGCTTAGACTACCCTAGGGGTATCTACTCATCCAGCTCTGTAAAATTCTTGGACTAACTGCTGTATTGCATAATAAAGCAAGGTGAGGCTACATCGCGCAACGACTCTACCCGTGTAAAGTACCGACCGAATGTGAGCTGACAGCCGCACGTTACGTGCAGTGCACGGCACATTAGCGTCGAGCTTACGACACATCTGTGGTCTGAAAAGAGCATGGACCCTTGGCGTGCCTGACAGCTAAAGACGCTACCCATGGATCGGGGCGGCGGGCCGGGTCGGGAGCGGCACGTTGTCAACCTCGCCCACTTAGTACAGTCATCCCTAACAGACAAATTTTGGCTCAACAGCATGCTCGCGAAATTCGCTCCCGAAGTTCTGTGACGTGCATTATGATCATGTCAACTTCCCTGGCGTGGTTGGCACTCCTTCGTGCGGATCGTATGATCGTTTCAAGTTTGTTATCTCGGTCCATCGTCGGTCAAATAGCCTTGCTTCGCTTGGAAGACTAGGCTCTACTCTAGGCTTTCCTAGGCATAACGTCTTCGTGGGGAAGAAACCGCAGGCCCCTTAGGGGTTTCCTTTTTCTAATAGAAACCATTTGAACTCGGGTGTGGGGATCAATAGGGGCTGGGGACCACTGAAAGAGACTTACACTCCCCGTTCGCGAGGGTGCAGTGCACTCTATCGAAAAGATGCCTATGAGTTGAGATCAGCTATGAGGCGGAACCACACGAAAAACACCACATGCCATCTGAAAGTTGTCGAAGTCCTTGAAACACTGTCGGCAATAGCCATCGCATGACTGATTTTCCACATGAGCTATTAGGCGGCATTTCTCTAGAGAGAAACGAGCATCAGCCATTGGGGCCGACTTTGGGGTGGGGCGTAGGAATCCGAAGCACGTCAGAAAGCCAGGCTGCGGCAACACGGATCCCTGTGGTAGGTAAATTGGAACCCAGCTCGGACAGCTCGCACAGGAGAGCGGGACTGGAGAGCCCCATATATAGAAGGCCAAGCAAACTTGCATTCAACGACGCGGCGCCTATAGCAGGGGACTGCTAGGCACTAATTTATCGGATGCTGCATTCCCATTTGGTGCCGTTCCGCTGTAGATCTCGTTCCTTCTAGGGTTTAGGCTCTGGAAGGGAGAGATGGTACGAAATGTACTCTCGCAAAAGAGGTTTTGCTACTTATCCACCGAGGTAGTCTGACGCCGTGTACGACCATAGTAACGACGATGATTTACGACGTCCTCCCAACACTCGCCTTCCTTGTAACGGGCGCCCTGTCCCAGCAAGATTTTCTAAATCGACTGCCTGCCTGCTCTGTCAGTTATTCCCTCATCTTCTGAACGGGTTCCGGACTAATTTTGACTTCCAGGTGCGCTGTCTTCAAGCTACCTTGACCACGACTCCCTGCTCACCCACCGACTTCACTTGCCTTTGTACCGATGGAGATTTCATGCAAGCTACGACCGCGTGTAACTCCGCGAACTGTACCGTAGTGGAGATGTTACAAGCAGCCAACGAAACCTATGCAGTGTGCGGCGTTCCAACCCGAGATCAGAGTGCAACACTGATGGGAGTCGTCGCGTCGCTCGGTTTCTTAGCCCTGTTAATGGTCATGATGCGACTGGCTGACAGAGCCATTTCTTCAGTAACGCGACTCGGGTGGGATGATTTCTTGATCGGTCTGTCAGGGGTACGCGACCGTTACCTTCCATTTCTCTTGAAGAAGCCATACTAACGACGCGGTTTCAATAGTTTTCGTCTCTCGGAATGAATGTGCCAGTCATCGTAGCGGCTCACTTGGGCTTTGGAACGGACATCTGGGGTATGCAACAAGAAGATATCACTCTCAGCTTGAAGTGGCTATATGTAGCCTACTTCATGTACATGATCGCCGAGGCCTTGTGTCAGCTCTCGATCCTTGCGTTCTACCTACGCATCATGATCGACCCAAAGTCTCGTCTTGCCGTCTGGACCTTGCTCGTGCTGGTCGTTTGCTTCGGTGTCGCCAACGCATTCTCCATGGTCTTTCAATGCACGCCAATCCATTTCTTCTGGAACGGCTGGAGAGGGGAGACATCCGGACAGTGCATCGACGTTCGTCTGTTCGGATTTGTGCGAGGGGGAATTGAGATATTCCTTGATCTAGCCATCCTAACTCTGCCTCTTCCCATGTTGGCGGGACTTCAGATGTCGAGGAAGAAGAAGCTTCAGATCATGTCCATGTTCTGCGTCGGTTTCATCATCACGATTGTCAGTTGCCTCCGCCTTTACGCATTCGTGCAATTTGCCAATACACAAAACCCTACATGTTCGTATCACCTCGACCACTGCCAACCTTCGATCGCTGATTACCTGCAGATGACAACACTTCCGGTCTTTACTGGTGCGCAACAGAGTCGAATCTTTTCACAATTGTCGCCTGCATGCCTGCGATACGAAGTATTTTTCATAAGGGTTTCAACAAAGTCCGTGGCGTCAGCACGGAGGCGAGCGGGAACAACTATGGTAGCAGTGGTGGTCTGGGCAGAGGGTCGTATCTGCGGCAGGGTTCCGGGCGAGACCAGAAATCTGGGAGCCTCCCATTTGGTGTCATTTCCAAGTCTGTCGATGTGGATGTTTACCGCACCCAACGATCAGATTCAGACATCGAACTCGTGGATGGACGGCCTCCCACATAGGAATACTCATCCCCTCCTTGATACTCAGCTTGAGTATCGAGACAATAGGAATCCCGAGCGAGCACCCACTGATAGCAGTGAGAATCTTACCCGACGACGTGAACGGTGTCTGTTTAGATTGTACCATTCCACTCTTACTACTCATCGCCTTTGTGCCAGCCGGCGTATCAACATTTCTGAGCGCGCCCCGCTTACGATACGTCAGTTCCCACGTCTTACGCAAGCCAGATTACCTCAGCGCTTCGCAGTAGCGTTCCCGTCGCAAGGTCTACCATGGCCGTTCTAACTCCTCAATGCCTATGACAATACCGAGAGATGCTTAATATCTATTACATGCTAATTATGTATACGGAGTGTGGTGTTCACTTATTACGGCGCAGGTATGTCTAATTTGGTCTGGGCATTATTTCCGTGCCCAGCGCGGATATAAAATAAGGTATTCGGTTTTCAAACAAACACTATATCGCGCATTGTTCTCGGCGTACTGAAAAAGTTAATTCGTTACTTTCATCTGTAACTCAAAAACGCATATGCTAGTCCAGATAAGCCTTACTAATATAACGATGCTGTTTTTACGGAAGGGAAGATGCAGTATCCCATACTCAAAGATATATATACTTTAAAATCCGTTAAAGTTAGACCAACAGGTTTAGGTATTATTTATCTCAATCATACGGGCGTAGCGTTGCCACCAGCATTCCTCATAGATGCATTTATAGAGTAGCAAAAGAAACTTCTACTTATAAACCCACACTCGGCCCTTACCACATCACCTAACCTCACACAGACTATAGTTAAAAAAATAACGTCACTAGGTGTTAAAACTCTTTAATGCTAGCCCCACTTACTTTAACGTGGTATTTATTGCTAATGCTACCACCGCCATGAAATTAGTGTTTAATTCCTTACAGGGCCATATATAGGAACCCGAGTATGAACCTCCATACTCGTGTTCAACCTGTTTATCAATCTATCGTTTGGATTACACTCAGGCCATATTGTTGACTTGTTAACTATCTTCTGATACCATCGTATCAACAAGACTCCTTCCCTTCCCTCAGTTGTCTTGCCCGAGAACCAACCCTAACCCTTTAGGACTAGCTACCCTTCTGGATTTAACATTATATATGATCACATTTCACTATTACTGGCTATAATTAAGGCCTACCAGCTACAAACGAGCTGGCTAAGGAGACAGATCGTCCTAAGTTACCTTAGAGAGCTTACTTCGTATATATAGGGCAAGGAGCAGGGACCTGATAATAATAATAATGATGATAGAGCTCTAGAGGACTACAACCTAGAGGCTTAACTCACTCCTATTTCCTAATTAGGAAATTTTACGCTGTAATTACGCCGTTAGGCTCAAAAATTATCACTACGGTTCAAGTCCCGTACTATTGTGGTCTCTCCACCGTAGCGTCCGTACCGTAATTACTAGCAACCGTAACGTAATCGTAACCACCTCTCACGGTCCGTAATACCGACTGTTGGGAGCGCTGAAGCCACCACTGTGATTGGTACGGGCCATGGCACTAAGCCTCACCTTCTGCCACAACTGCGGTGATAAACAGGCTGCAGACGTCGCTAGCACGCGATTTGCGGCTCTTGATAATCTGGCAAAGCTGCTGGTCTTGACCGACCAGCTAATGACGCATCCGGCACACCCAGTCCGCCCAACGATGCTGCTAATGGGGATGTCGAAACCGTGTTTATGGGGCAGAAACCATTGTCGGACGAACAGTACAGGTCTGCTTTTGATGTCTTGGTTCAAGGTTCAAAGATGTCGTACCGAGATTTTATCATCCCTCAACTCTCTCAGCTGTTGAGGCCTCTCGTTGATGCTCAAAGCTCGATCTCCGTACTGGAAGTTGGACCTGGTCCGAGCAGCATATTCGGACACCTTCCCGATCGTCTCAGACGGAAAATCGGGAGATACGCTGCCTTCCAGCCAAACAGCTTATTTGCGAATGGTTGACAGAGTCGTTTTGCCCTCCTTCGCCGGCAGAACCTGTGTTGCCCAGTCTAGAACAATCAGCCGTCATTCATCAACGTCCGTTCGACATGCCAGATAGCACGGAGCATGACAACTGCATCGGTACCGGACACGCTGAAGAAACATACGACATTGTCCTGTTTTGCCACAGCATGTACGGAATGAAGTCCAAACGGAGAGTCATGGAACATGCACTGAGAATGGTGAAAAACAGGCCTCAGAAAGGACTGGTGGTCGTATTTCATCGCAGCGGTTCACTGCACTTCGAGGATCCGGTGTGCCATAAAATGGCTTTTTTCGGCAATGGCGTCGTCCGCGTGGTAGATGATAATCAAGTCCTGGACTGATTTGCGTCTTTCATAGCAGGATTTACCGGAGAGGATACGGACGTTGGGAATCCCATTCCAGCGGATTGGCGCCAAGTCTGCCGGACCTTGGGTCGCCGCGGGGAAGCCTACTCAAACCATCTTCTGTTTAGTGCGCCTGAAGCCATGGTCGTCCTCACCCATGATGCGACCTCATTGCCGGAGCTGACGACGCAGGTACCGTTGGCTGACAGCGGCACTACAATCAAGAACTGGATGGCGCGCTCCTAACGACCCGCTTCAATGGTCAAGCCGAGGAATATCCAACAAATTCAGCAATGCGTTCGATGGGCTTTGAAGCATGATTTCAGCCTCACGATAATCGGCGGGGGGCACAGTGATCATTGTGTCTGGCCCGCCGTTGTTGCCATCGATAAGTTAGTGTATCGAAAACATTGGTAGATTGGGAATTATTACGCCAAGAAGTGGTAAGGCGGTCTTTTGCCGCGGCAGCTGCGCCAATCGGCCAATGTCGGCAACAAATTGTCACGAATTCCACTCCTCCATCTTTCTCTCCCTCCGCGGCTCAGGCCTTGCAACGATGACGAGCCGTCTCACCACGTGCTTGAGAGAAAAGCGAATTTTATTTTTGTATAGTCGTATCAGCCGTCATTGCGAATTCCCCTTGCCAGTGGCCTATACTACCTCCCTTGAAGCTGACAACGTCACAGCCCTCATTGGCCGAATATCAGAACAAGCTTTCTGAGCCCAAGGCACGTGTTCTCGGCAAAGCTTGTCATTGCTTGTCTTGGTCTGGGGTTGTGCTTTCTACATGCCGCAAACCTTGTTCAGGGCTTACGGGCACGAGCCTCTGTTCTCCGACATACGTCAATGTGCCAGCCGGGTGTCGTTCCCCTTGCACATCGTTGGATGAGCCGCGAGGCAATTGGTAAAGAGATACCCAATCTAGACAAGTGAACTCTGCAAGTTCAGTACGAGTCGGAATATGTCTGGACGTACCTCGAGTTGTGGCTTCGCGGGAGAGCGGTAGGAACTCCGAAGCTTCATGAGCTACCCGGCGCTGTGTATATAAGCCCTTCTCCGACATCCGCAGCTCAATTCTTTACCACCTGTTTTCAGTCCGGTCCAACGACACATATTCGTTACTATGAAGTCGGCGCTCTCGTTTCTTGCGCTCCAGGTTCTCCTTAACCAGGCGAATGGTACGCCTCTCCTGGCCCGTGATAGAGATTATGATAGCGATCACGGTTGCAGAGTTAAGTATGTGGTCGTCCTCAGCATTGACGGCCTCCATAACAGTGATGTTGACAAGTGGCTTGCGCTTGGCCCATCCAACATCTCTACGCTCTTGGAGACAGGATATAGGTATACCGATGCCTACACTACCGGCCCGTCGGACTCCTTTCCTGGTACTCTGAGTGCATGGACGGGTGCCAACCCAAAGACGACAGGAGTCTGGTACGATGATACGTACGATCGGACGTACTTTGCTCCCAGTAGCGGGTGCAAGGGCAACCCGGGTGCCGAAGGTAAGAATCAAGGCCATAGCGCACCGAATCCTTTCTGACTTTACACCCAGTTGTGTACGACGAAAGCATTGATTACAACTCGACCCAGCTCTTCTCTGGTGGCATTAACCCTGCAAACCTTCCCCAAACCCTGATTAACGGAAAATGCACTGCCGTCTATCCTCACGCCCGTACGCGTGTAAATACGGCATTTGAAGTCGTTGTCCGCAAAGGCCTCAAGACTGCGTACACAGACAAGCACCCAGCGTACGACCTCGTCCGGGGTCCGAGTGGAAAGGGCCTCTCCACTGGATACTTTCCGGAGATTGCAGCAACAGACGGTAAGGTGCCTGGAACAATTGCGTACGATCAGCTACATGTCAATGCACTGCTGGACTGGTTCGATGGAAAAGATGTAGCCAATGCGGAAGGGAGTTTAGGTGGGAAACTTCCGACACTTTCGGGCGGGAACTTCCAGGCTGGTGCGTAGTATAACATGCATTTCTATACGATTGATGAAGCGGCTAACTTTGCGGGAAAGTTTCCGTAGCACAGAAAACGCACGGGTACGTCAATGGTACCTTAGCATTCACGGATGCCCTCAAGCAGGCCATGACATTCGTCGATGCATCTCTCGGTGCCTTGGTCGAGAAGCTGAAAGCCAAGGATATCTACGACCAGACCCTCATCGTCATCGCTTCCAAGCACGGCCAAGCTCCTATTGATCCTGCTAAGTTCAAGGATATCAATCCAAAAAATGTGACCGCCGCCACAGGTGTGAAGGTAGCCTTCCAGACAGTGAATTTCCCTTGCAAAACCCCAAATTTCGCTACGTTGCCTTGCTAACCCGATACAGAGCGACGACATCGCCCTAATTTTCCTTGCTAACCAAAAGGACCTTCACGTGGCAGTTGCCGGCCTGACCGCGAGAAAGGCCGACCTGAAAATCTCTGACATCATTTACGGCCAGCGTCTCATTGACCTGCACTTTGGAGACCCAACCAAAGATCCTGCCGTGCCGGATATCATCATCGTCCCCCAAGCTGGCATCATCTATACCACCTCAAAGTCGAAGATTGCCGAGCATGGCGGTTTGAGTGACGACGACAGACACATTGCGGTTTTCATGAGTAATCCTCATTTGAAGAAGATGGCCTTCGGTCAGCGGGTGTATGCCACACAGGTTGCGCCAACCATCTTGGGAGCGCTAGGGTTGAACGCGAATGAGCTGGACGGAGTAAGGGCGGAGCGCACTGAAGCTTTGCCGGGATTCCACAACGGTCGCAACTAAGTTCATCCTGAGCCAATGCAGATGTTGTGGGGAACAACTTGTGAAGAGTCAAAAGTATTTGAATAGCCAAGATCAGAAAGTATATAATTTTTGCGTTGTACATATAGAAATTCGGATGGATTAACGCATAGCTCTAAGACTATGGACTTAATTAACGCTGTTCGATAATATAGAGCCTCAACTGTGACCTAGCTAATGTTGGATTGTGATGCTATGTGCTAGTGTCGCAGTTAAATCTACGTTACTATCAATCGTATTCGGACCGAGTGCGCATGGACTCCTGAGGATCGCGATAATCATTATAATTCAGCTACTGAATTAGGAAACTCTGAATAAGTCAACTCCCCTGGTGATCGCCTCACTATGGCTATATAGTTCAGTTAGAATCACAGTAATACAACTTTAGTGAACCTTCAATATTTCCATTGCATGATACCTACGGTCCTAAAAACCGTTATAGTTATGAGCCTGTTAAATCCAGAAGGGTAGCTAGTCCTAAAGGGTTAGGGTTGGTTCTCGGGCAAGACAACTAAGGGAAGGGAAGGGGTTTTGTCGAGACGATAGTATTGGAGGAGATATAACGAGTCAACAATATGGCCTAAGTGTAATCCAAACGATAGATTGATAAACAGGTTAAACACGAGTATGAGAGTCCATACTCGAGTTCCTATATACCCCATGTCCCAGAAGTCCCAGAGTCCCAAAGTCCCAGAGTCCCAGAGTCCCAGAGTCCCAGAAGGTCCGTGCCCTTCCTGGTACTCCTGGGACCCGTGACTTGGGTCACGTGACATGTGGCTGAGTCAGTGTCCAGAGCCCCTCGGCTCCAAAAGCAGCGAATGCCCCGCGGCCGAGCTATGGATCCTAACATTGGGAAACCCAGCTCTCGCTCACAGGCTCTTTTGCAACTATAGAAGTGAAATTTTGTACCATCTCTCTTGTAGGTGGTAGCCGACGAGCTATAAGCTGTTCTATATAGCTTATAAGCTCTAGCTCTTGTTATGGAGTGAGCTTTTGTTGCTTAAGGATCTTAGTGTTATGCGGTACTATAACAGCCTTATGCCTGCGCGTTAACGTCGAGCGTACAACACCATATTTTTTCGCGATTTCCCGATAGGAGAAAGTTTCGCCTGGTCCTAGGGATTCAATTTCTTCAATTGCTTCATTAATCGGATCCATATTGGTTGAGTTTTGAGGTTGTGAAGATTGAGCGATTTTTCAGGGGTGGCGCATCACGCGAATGGGCGCATCACGCGCACGACACGGTAGTCTCGGCTAATCGCCGAGCACCAAGATTCACTAGCCCTAATTAAGCTAGCTAGCCAGTGTACGCAGAGGTGCACTAGTAAACCAAATAGCTAGGAGGTACGGTACAATGCATTTCATGCAGCTACTCTTTATACTAACTCCGCTCTGTAACTCCTTTCCGACCAATCCCATATGACCACGTATAATTCAAGGTAACGAAGCGTAGGCACAGCCGAAAGCAGCATTTAAAGTCTCAACCTGATTGATTGCATGGCCTACATAACGAGGTCAACTACTGAAGGATGGCCACTGCCTCGGCAAGATCATCAGAGGCTATCCTTTCACGGAGTCTTGCCCGCTGTTTGCGCTGTTTCATGAGTTTCACGAGCAATCTTCGCTGGATATCTGGTGGACTTGTCATGCGGGAAGTAATCAAGTTTGCTACATCAGCGGTATCTGGTCTCTGAGCTTTGACGTAGAAGAGGCGATCCGGCTTCTGGAAAAAGTACGTCACATTGTGCTGCAGAGCAGATGTGAGTGAGGAAGCGTCTCTGCGATGAAGTACAACAGCTGTTTCCAATATATGGATTGTACTTCGCCAAGTGGGGCTAGGTCCGCTACACTTGATCTTTTTGGTTTCGAAACACCTGGTCGTGATATAGGCGAAGGTAGCACAATCTTCCGAGTCCGCGAGAACGCCAGCCCATGAGTTTTCTTTCTCGCAGGCGATTTTGAAACCTCTGTATACGTCGCGTTCATCCGGCCACGCCACCACCAGGATCTTCCCTTCACGGTCAAGTCCTGTATGTTGGAGAACGTCGAATATTTTCCGAATCATTCTCAGAACGTGTTGGTGAAGTTGAGAGGAAAGCTTCATCAACAAATCGCGGAAAGTGTTGTCCCGGAATGCGTTGATAATATCTGCTTTCAGAAGCTCTTCCCATAGGTGTCCTCCATCGTGGGATGGCGTTGATGCCATCGCAAATACTGGAAGCAGGTCGGCTATCATTTCGCGGAGTGACACTCTTCGAGAAACACCCGTACAGAAGCTGACTTGAACGGCCCATACATTGTCCAAAAAAGGGACAAGTGTCTCATCATCTTGCTGAAGTCTATGCTGTTTCAGAGTCCGACCAGGAATCTTGTGTGAGGCTGCAATGGCCTGGAACATGACTTGATTTCCGGCTTGCATTCCAAACTGCTTCTCGTCGTGCTCCCAGTAACTTTTGCAAGTACCCAGGGCCTCGAGAAATTCAGATGAAATTGACCAGCAATGTTTTGCATCGATTCCGCAATTCCTGTTCACAACGACTGATGTTCCAATAACCATCTTGTCCAGCGGATCTAGAGCGATTTGGGGTAGCCTTCCAATAGAAATATTTCTGCTCCAATGGAACTTGTTGTTACCGTTCAAACCAGATGGGTAGACAACTCCATTGCCGATCTGGATGGCAAAAGGCATCATACTTGTACGTTGAATCAAAAAGTTGCCGGGGCCCCATGTATCAAGAAGGTCGTACGCATTTATAGAAAGATTGTACATGGTTTCTTCGGTAGATGGCAGGGAAGGGATGCGTGCCTGCATCAGGTTGAATGCCAGGACCTGAGATTGTATCATGCCTCCCATGCATGTCAGGTTGTAGAGACTCGCTTCTATCCAATTTTTCCCATCAGTGGATGCCAAACTACCAAGTAGACGGATCTTCTTCAGCGGGGTATCCAGGAAGAACGGCCGAATGGTCCCAGCATGTGCCTGAGTGTATGATAAAAAGCCTAAACACACGACTTGAGTGGCCAGGGAACAGATTTGGAGATCAGCATTGATACTGTCGTCGAATGAGACTTCCGTAATGCCTTGAACAAAGGGTCGTAATATCTGCGAGGCCGTCTGCTGGACCCTGAGAACATCGACCGGGCTCATATTGTGTATGGCGGATAAATCTTCCAACCTCGATAGCAGCTGCAGAGGGAGTTCGAATTCGATCCGACAGACCTCTACTGACGAATCTGGCGGAAGTTGTTGCCTAGTATATTGTGTCGGTAGCCACAGTATTGTAAATGAATCACAACAGAGCCCTGCAGCTTGGGCATGGCCTGCAGCGAGGCAGAAGCGTCTGAGAGAGTTGATGAGCCGGGATACTATCGTAGAACGCTCCGAATCAGAGACCTCTATAGGTTGAGCGCATGTTACTGTGGCCACAGAATTTCCCTCTTCGAATGCGATCGACCCATCCCATTTCTCTCTGTCTCGGGTTGTTGGTGTGATACCAGCTACACCGCAGAGTTCTTCAACGATTTCGATAACATCTCGCCAACTGCCAGAAGGAGAAGGAATTACTTGTGTTGTGGCTGATTGAAGCAGAGAGGATTGATCGGATGAGTGGAACTGATGGACGCATCCTGGAAGATGAACACCTGTTCGTACTGCAGAAAGATTGTATATGCCCGGCTCGAAGTATATCCAGGGAGCATCATTGAACTGCTCGAACAAAAGTTCTGCAAGTTCGTCACGTGTGTAGCCATTCTCATTCAGCTCACGAATCCAGGAGTACTCGCCCTGGGCAACGACATCAAATCGTTTTTTGAGTAATTGTTGCAACACCTTGATATTTTGAGACCTCAGAGCTTCCCTTATTGTCGTAGGAGGATTGACTAAAGATTGAAGGCTTGATTTGAATGTCTGAAATGATGGTCCTTTGGTGAGAGTGGCCACTACCGACTCGATATTGGAAATCTTCTCAATCTGAACCTTTCCTTCTTCTTCTTGTTCTTCTTCTTCTTGTTCTTCTTGTTCTTCTTCTCCTTCTTCTTCTGCTTCTTGTTCTTCTTGTTCTTCATTCTCGTCATCTTCCTTGTTTCCATCATCATCTACGTCTTCGATATCTCCATGTTCGTTTCTCATCTCTTGCGCAAGCTCATTCTTCTCTTCAAGATAATGGTCCAGACGGTAGTTCCGGTCTTCTTCTTGATCTAGGATCTGCTGCATTCTTTGCTGATCTTCAAGGCTGGAGTTTGGTCGATTGAATCGACAAATCTGTGCCGTCACTTCTTCTCGTCTCGATTGATTTTGGAGAAAGCGAACAGCTTGTAAATGGATATGGTCTCTCTTCTCCGATCGAAGGTCTGCCAGAAACTTCTTCAAAAGTCGTTCATGGTGTGTAGAGAATCGTTGTACTCCGATCTCTTGCAGAGCACGAGTATATAGTGGTCGAAGAAAAGGATCCTGGGACAGTGCGCTTGCGAGGTATTGAGTCACTGTCTGATGAACACCTCCAAACAACCCCGCAGATGATCTGCTATCCACGGAGGAGTGGGCAGAGAATAGCGAAGGTTCATCGGAGATATCAGAGATGCTGTTGGAGTCCTCGATTGTATCCTCATTACCCAAGCCCTTTCTGTACTCTATCAATTGCACTCTTAAAACTTCGGCCTTGTCCTGTTGTCCTTTGTTACTGTATGTTGACATCAGGTTGGCCATGCTGCTCAGCGTGTCAGGATGATCCGCTCCTAGCTTCATCTTCCGCATCTCTAGAACTTGCACCTCTAGCTTCTCAGCTTCATCCCATCGTCCTTGGTTCCTGTATGTCGAGGCTAGGTTGGCCATGCTGCTCAGCGTGTCGGGATGATCCGCTCCAAGCTTCATCATACGAGTCTCTAGAACTTGTTTAAGCAGCTTCTCGGCGTCGTCCCATCTGCCTTGGCTCCTATATGTCGAGGCTAGG